ACCCTAGAAAGTATGAAGTTTCTCAGCCCTTAGGTCCAAATTCCTGCAAGCTGTAGTGAGCCAGGGGAGGGAACATATCTCTGGACGGTTGGAGCCCCGCACCCAGGTCCTGAAAGCTTGGCTCTGGTTCATCATAAATCCAAGCTTCCCTAAATTTCAAGGTAGCTGCTATTTTCTTTTCGCGGCCCCTTTCCGTACTAGCACTCAAGTAAACAAGTGTGTAAGTTTCCGTGTGATTTCCCATGTACTTTCCACGTGATTCTCCATTCGACCCAAACACCAAAGCCGCCCCCGCCCTGTAACAGTTGGATAATATTTTTAATATAGCCAGAAACAGCCCTTAATTAATATGACCCCCAATATAGACCGTTACAGGGTGGGAACAGTACCCAAACCAAAGCTGCCCCAGGAATGTGGCCCCGCCATGTCCCCTGTGAAGATTCAAAGTGCAAAGTTCCGCTGGGCCACACCTTCACGCGTCGAGTCGGACGAGGAGGGTGCCGGAGCCACGTCTGAGGCTGGGCTAGGGCTAATCTAAGCTACTATTTTAGGTGAACCATATTCAAGTGAGATATATATCTATATACATGTATAGAATGGTAACCTAATCGAGTGTAAGTTCCTTACCTAGGGTGTGTTTTTTTTGATGCCAGCTCCCCCTTACAGCCCTGCCACTCCCACGGCCTAGACAGCCCAAGATCCCTTCCTGAACTCCCCACAGACCCCCAGACCTACCTTTCTGCGCATTTTTCTCTTACTATTCATGCATGCAAGTTCCACAAGCAAAACTCCATCTTCCATTGCAGTCTCCACGGTTTGAAGTGTTTCAGCTCCTTGGGGTCTGACTGGTGCTGAAGTCAAGCTGAGCCTTTGGGACTTGCATCTGGAAGCGCAGTAAACAGTGATGCACATGTTGAGCCGAGCCTCCTGTTGTTGGCATCTCCGAAGGGAAGCGTAGCTGCGTCATGTTGCTCGGTTACGGGGTTTCGTGAGCATGTGGCAATCCTCTGCGTGAACGGATAAGAACATCACGTTGCCCTGCGCGAAACACATGTCTTCATCTTTGAGCCGCATAGCTCTTCGCTCAGTAAGGGGGAGGCTGATGTGACCGCGGTCTGGCCACGTCGTATCCATCAGTTCCAGGGCCTACAGCCGCCAACCCGTCAATCAATGCAAGCGAAAGTTGGCATGACCAAGACCGGCCCGTGCCTATGCACAGAGAAAACACACATCTTGAAAACATGTTCATGAATCTTTAAGTGTATTTATGGTACATCGAGGTTTCTCTTACAGACATACGGAGACACACATGCATACACATATATGCATAGAATATGACTAAACTTATATATAAATATAAATTTAGATATAAATATAAATAAATAAATAAATAAATATATATAACTACGTATGTGTGCAGACATGCGCAGCTCCATTCATGCTCATTGAGCTCCAGGGCCGCCGGTGCTTCCCCCGCTTCTCCCGGGCCCCTCGGCCGGGCTCCGAAGCATTGCTGGCCATGACGAACCTGCTGCTTGGTGAGAAGTTATTACGGATATTACAAGTGGATGTGGGGATGTTATGAGGCGATCGCTAGGGATATTGACACGGGAATATAGGGATATCATAAGGGGATATAGGGATATTTTTATATAGGGATATAGGGCCCATATTTAGGGATAATGGAAAATAAATTGGAAACTACTACTTAGGGTTCAGCAATGTTGTAGTCCCAGAATCCCAGTAAAGGTAATAGGGGACATATGGCAGGTGGCTAAGATGATGACCCTTTAAATGGGCCCATTATGTCCCCATCATAATCTGGCCCCTAATATTCAGGGCGCCAAAAAAGTGACTACAACTTGGACATCCCATCTTCTTATAGGATTATCTAGACATTATAGGTGTTTATGGCATCATAATGGAGAATCAAATGTTAAAAAAGTGGAACATAAAATGGATATTAATAGTTAGGTTTAACAGGTATCGAAGCGAAAGGGGGTTGAGGAGAAAAATGGAGAACAAAAGGAGAACAAAATCGAACCTGAAATTGAATCTGGGGTTATATAATAAGGGCCCTGTCGTATTGTTGACTGGGCGATGATATTCCCCAATCTAGAGTAAGATTATGTCATTCTTTTTCGGGTAAAGTGTTTTATAAGCTTCATGTGAGGCATCTTGGGGTATACGGCTCCGGGTTTGGGTGCTCGTTTTGGTCGTATGGATAGGGTTGAGGGTTTCTCGGAATGGGGGTGATTGTAGGGATGCAGAGGGTTCAGGGCGTAGTGTTGAGTTCATCTAGGGCGAATCTAGGGGTTCTGAACTTCCGGTTTTGTTGGGATTAGAGGTAATGAGGAGAGCTGCATGGTGTTAGGGTAAGGGGATGCTGCTTTTCTAGTTTCCATATTTGGGTGTGGTGAGCAGGTTCAGCTGACGTCAGATATTTTCTTTTGGCCGCGGATTACATACTAGTGCGGTCGGTTGTGAGTTGTAATTGACGGAGCCTGGCACCGCTTCCAATGCCTTGTGCTCGGGGATTTCCTGGAGCATTCGGAACCTGAGTGGTGCAAGACATTGCAATATTGCAACATTGCCACAGTGTCGGGAGGGGCCGCCATGTTGCGTGTGTTTCCAACAAAGCTGCCACTCAGGCAGACAACGCCTGCCAGGGAGCTCCATTTGAAGGTCAACCTCTTGGAGGCCAGCACCTTCTTGAGCATTGCATCCAGACTGAGCCCCGCCCACCTGAAGACGTGGGCATGTTCCACTTTACGTTTGCTCTGGGGTTGTGGATACGGTTAGTCATTGCTTCATTTTGAGATGCCTTATCATTTTACCGGCCTTCTTCTCATGAAACTGTCGCTAACACTTACAGGAGGAGTGAAAAGTCCCAATTGCTTGGTGCAGCTGACCACGAAAGATAATCCCTCAGTGTATTCTGAGACCCGGTTATCACCCCACTTGCCAGCCGTGGGTTCGCAACATGAGGGGCACAAGTAAGATGGCTGTTGTCCTTCTGTGGTCATGATTAATGTCACAACCACCAGGCTGAGACCATGTACGGGCGGCAGTGGGTTTCCGTTTATTGCTTGGTTTTTTCGGGTTTGGAAGTCTGCGGAACTTCGTCATGCTCGTGAAAGCGCCTGACTACCCTGCGGCCTCCGAACCCGGGAAACTAGAGCCCCAAAGCTCTTGAAATGCACCCGCCCGTAGCCATGAATTCCTCCCACTACCCTCACATGTCATGCCTTAGCCACTGTATGCCCGGAGGTCCTTCATGGCAAGTTCACCCTGATCACAGGCCCCGTGGGCTGCGGCAAAAGCACGTCCCTGGGCCTGTTCATTGGAGCTATGCTCAGAACTTAAAAAGTCTTGACTACAGTCGTCAAGAATATTTAACCACTACCCAATGATGACTCCACAAGCTCACAATTGACACGCGATCTATCGAAATCCCAGTGTTCATCATCAAACTGGGAATTCTGAACTCTAAATCTGAAACAGCGTCTTGGATCTTCGTTGCTGCGTTCCATGCGCTAACAGGGGTATGGAAAAGCCTATTGAAACCCAGACCCTGTATGTATTACTTTCTTTCAGGAAATGGTGTATATCCTGGCGACGGCGCCTTCTAGAGTGAGTCCTCAATTGATCATGTCATTTACTGTTTCGTTCTAGAAAGCCTAAACCAACCAGGTTCTGGTACCTAAGTCCATATATAATCCCACTTTCCATTTCATTTCCCGTTTGCTTTTCCATTTGATTCTCCATGATTGGCATGATATCCCTAAACCCTAAACCGGAACTCAGACGGTTTCTGCATGTCTGCTGCATGTTTGACCAGAACTTCGACTGCTGAGCCCTGTGGCTGGGTTGTTGAGCTTGCGGAGTCTCTGTCATGTCACTCTTGTAGTAGCGGGAACGGATGATGTTGTTAGCAGCTGAGCTAATGGTGGAGCATAGCCTGCCTAGTGCCCTGGCCAATGAGCTGGGAAGCCGGACCGGATGCTTGCTGCCGTGCCTGCACTGCTGTGCGATGCGCGTGTCTAAACCCTGCACATCCCCTATACTATATAACCCTTTGTAGGCCTACCCTAAACCCTAAACCCCTATGAAACCCTATGGTTCTTAAGCTTTCAGCGAGGTTGCTCTCCGCCATCCTCGGCGAGGTTCCGCAGATGTCGGGCCGAATCGAGTGGCTCTTCTTTTAACAGCGATTTTTCAAAGGGGATTACTGGGGATATTGTAAGGGAATATGGGAACTATGAGGGGATAATTCTTGGAATAGGATGTGGAAGTATTGGCAGTTGCTGGGTGGACTGTGTGGTTGTTGGCACTTTGGCGGGTAGAGAATATATATATATCCATGCTTTCCCTGCGGTGCAGGGCTTGGGGCTTAGAGTTTGGGACTCCGCCCCGCGCGTTAGCTTGCTCAGCGTTGCGACTTTAGCCGATTAGTGGTGGTTTCTGGCAATGTATTTTCGTGACAAGTATTACTTGCGCTCTCTCCTGCTTGCTATGACCTACGAGTGCAAGCACTTGCAACATCTTACAGCTACTGCCAACCTTTTCCTCTGCACTTGGTCATGTTATTCTGCAGGCTTTCCCATCTCGCAACTGGGGTCCTCTAGGATCCTTCTGTCGAGCACACTTTTCCAAGTTGGGCCTCCTCCTGGATGAGTGCCCAGATGTTGTGGTCCTTACTGCTGCTGCAAGGTCTGCATAACATAGACCCATGATCTGGAGAAATTGCCAGCTGGCGTCATGCTAGCCTGCCTCTGGATATTATGAAGGCAAACCTGTTCTTCAGGCCCTGTAGTTCATGTAGGTCCATGAGCAGTTCTGGGAAGGAAAAAAAGTGCTTCAAGCCAGGTTGTACTTAGAGCTCCTCTAGCCGTCGCTCTGCTCACGACTACCGCGAATACACTTTTATGTGCTATTTGATTTCCTGAGAGCCTCGCGATGAGGCTGCTTGGTTCAGTGGCCTACTGCGCGCAGATTCCATGGCTCTTGTGGCTTGCCAGAAAGTGGATATCCTGCGGCCATCCCCCTCCCCCGCCTCTACTAAAACTGTGTGTTCCCCGAAAAGAACTCTTGCTGCTGTATTTCGGGGCGGCATGCGTTTGGGATGCGCCTCATGCTCCTGGTGAAGGCAGCCGTCAAACTCAACATGTTGACTCCTAGATTGCACTTCGCCTCTTTACCGTGAATATTGCTCGGGTTGGGGTTGCCCAAGTAGCGCCTGTTGGTTCCACTTGCCGAGCATCAGGCATGGGACCGTCCAAGACAACATCACGTTTGGCAAGCGCTACAATGAGGAAAAGTTTGAAAAGGCCGGAAGAGTAAAATTGTGGAAATGTGCTGTCATTGTGCTTATCGATATATGTATATGAGACTATTAGCTGCGCACGTACATATCCACGTGTATCTATACATGCATGTTTACATTATACATATACCTATGCATACATATACATATGTGTATATATACGTGTGTGTGTATGTAAGTTTGCACAATTTACATGCCAGTGTGCGTATATGGGGACTTTTAGGAAACTTTCAACTGCAAGGTGGTGGACGTGTGCTCTTTGCGTCCGGACCTGGATCTGCTGCAGGAGGGTTCTAGGGATTCATAGGGTCAAGTTTCTGGGGGTTAAAGTTTAAGAGGTTTGGGTTTACATGCATAGAGAATTACAGAGCTACTGCATCATGAGTAAGTCTTTAAAGTTTCGGGTGTAGACTGGCCAATTAAAGGTGTCCAGAGTCTAGAGGCCTGATAAAGTTGACAGGGTCCACTATTCAGGGCTTGGAATTCAGGGTTTCATGTAGCAGGTCCACCCATTACGTAGTGATTCATGGGGAAACTAACATGTCCGAAAGGCTGTTCAGACAATCCCATTCAGGATTGGATTGCTTGCTGTGCATATTTTGGTGAATGAAAGCTGTGCTATGTTTTGGGTGGCGATCATGAAGGTTTTACTATCCTGAGGAGGCATACACGGGCACAAATGAGGTTTGCGTACCATACGCAATTCCAGATATTGGCAATGATAAGTTCGGGATCATAGAAGTATTGGAGAAATTGCTGCTGCTGCTGCGTCTACTGTGCCACCTCTTCAGCAGATTGCTGCTGCTTCTGCTGTCTCAGCTTGTTTAGCATGCTTCGGCAGATGCTACCTTGCTGGGGCTACCGCTAATTAGACCTAAATACCCTGAACAATACATCTAGACTTAATTACTCAGAAGCAAAGCTGGATTAGAGGACGGTCAGTCCACCATCATTGGGGAGCGCGGGGTGAACTTGTCTGGTGGCCAGTCGCTTTGCGGAAACCAATCCTTTGCATGTGAGCCTAGTTAGGACTTGGGATGTTTGAAGGTTTAATGTTAGGGTTGAAGTTGAGTTTTTTTTTTGTGTCTTCTGTTGATTGCCATTGTGTCACCATCGCACAGTTGAAGCGAGCCACGAACGCAAAAACTTGCCACATCTTAGCAGAGGAAAGCTCGAGTAAGTCTGGCTCGTGCTGCGTACAGCGACGCCACGATTCAGTTGCTGGACGACCCACTGTCAGCTGCTCTGTCTGCAGGGGAAGCTGCTTTCAGTTCAAATGGGTTGCTACTTATAACCCCACTGGCTGCAATGATCATCAAGGATGTTGTTTCTTGTGTCATATGTCCATACGTCTGTCCACATGTTGACGATAACCCTGTCGTTACGATAATGAGAGATCTTTATCACATTTTTTTTGTCGGTACACCTTCCTCGCTTTATAATGGGTTCAAGCCTGAGTGATGGACAACGTGCGGTGGACTGAAGCTCTGTTTGGGTGACTGGCCAGGCCGTGGATGCACATGTTGCAGTGCACCTGGCCTTCCGACTGCAGCTTCAGTGGTGAGGGTTTTTGGTTTGTGGGGCTTCAGGATCTAGAATAATACAGATTGTTTATATTATGCAAGACAGGGCATTGCGAAGAAGTTACAGGGCAGCAGCTTGACAGGCGTGTGGGTCACGCTGGCTGAGGGATCCAGACATGCTCGAACAGGAAGTAGAGAGATCACAGAAAGTTTTTGCCAAAGCTGGTTGTATTTGAAATTGGAGGCCCCGTTGATACTACAATGATGGTGCTGCCCAGCTTAGATGTGATAGCTTTCTGAGTCTCATTGTCAGTGACATCCAGCAAGTAGTTGCGGCGTGTGCTAAAACCCCACGACGCCATAGTAAACCCTCAACCCTAAACCGCTATTGCTTGCAGGTCTCCCCATTCCCCATCCCCAGCCCCAAGAAACCCACCCAGCAAAAGGAATCAGCAGATAGAGAGATGTGGTAGTCTCCCCAAACAGCGGACCCCGAGATAGAGGCCAAAATGCTAATCATGATCCTAATTTTGCAACTTGGATAAAGCATCTTGATTCTTTTGCAGTAATCTTCTCCCCCAAGTCTCTCATAGAAGCCTCAATTTACATTGTAAATTGCTTCCTGAAGCCAACTTGTTGTTTCTTCTCGCCCAGGTGAAGGAATGCCTGGGTGCCAACGGCTTCTGGTTGAAAGTTCAGTGTTCTATGCTGTGCCAGTCCGATTTCAAGAGGTTAGTGGGGATATATAGGGGTATACAAGGGGTAGATAGGGATGTATAAGGTTTTTGTTTCTGGGTAAGTCTTACAATAACAATTGCAGGGCTAAGAGTTGAGGGATGTGATTAGAAGGATGCTGACGGCTGTTTAGGGGTTGGGCCCCATATTTGAACCCTGCCCAACTCCCGTAGTGGGACAATGGCATGTGCACAATTCGGAGAGCGATCAAACAAAATCCTGGATTACACTCTTTTCCTGCATAGCAAACAACGACGAGCAACAAACTTCTTCTCGATTTAAGAAAATCGTAATTTCTTGGAACGAGCTTTGGATTGCTCCGGCCATCAAAAAATGTTTTTCACAAGATGCACAACACGGATTCCCACATCGCCTTCACGGTTGTGAATAGTCAAGAGCCAAACTCCCACATGGGAGTTTCTCAGCATAGCCCGCATAGAATCCGTCAGAGCGATTCCCATGACCCCCCTGCAAACCCTGTGTAGCACCTCCCCGGAACAAACATGGGGACGTATGAGCCCAAAAGAAGTATCCGTCTTCGAAAAGGAAGCCTGCCTTTTATGGCTTGTCCTCCGGGTTGTGTCCAGTTTGGAAGTAAGATAGCTGTTGCTTAGAGCCAGATCATTTTCTCAAAAGACGGAGGGTCGAACAGAGTAACGTGTTACAGAATCACAGATTACTTTGTTTCAGGTGTAATCATACTAGCATACTTATCTAAATTTAAATGAATATGAGTACTCTTCTTGTGGTTAATCGTCTTCATGAATTGTGTCAAGGTTTCCTGGCGAAGACGACGCGCCTGCTGGTGAGCCACCAGGTTCAGTTTGCCACAGAGGCCCTAACGAGCAGTTGATGGCGACATGATGCTCTACTTACTGGTTTTTAGTAAGGAATAAGTGAATATTCATCTTATCATCCCTGTAGAATATATTCCCTTTCTCCTAGAGAGAGGGAATGAGGGACTATAATCTCTATCATTCTTATATAATAGATTCCCTTATTCCCTACATGAACCAGTAAGTCTGTGTTTTGCTGTGGCTTTGTTGCTGGCAAGGTCTGCCGGACAAATTCCTACTCAGATCTCCTTGTGGGTCAGATAAGTGCATGGAACTTGTGGCGAGTAGCCGCCGCGGCCCGAAGGGTATGTTTACGCAGGTTCAAGTGCCATTTGTATAGCGTTGAGGGTTTAGGATGTAGTGTTACAATAATGATGGAGAATCAAATGAAAAGCAAATGGTTGGGACATGAAATGCACAGCTGAGATTACACAGCGAGATCTGCTGCAGCCTTAGCTTCTCTGAGGGATGACTCCAACCTGAAGCTTGGAAATACAATTGGCCCGCTGGCTCACTTGCCCAACTCTTCCCAAGACAGTAGGGCAGTTTCCCCCATTTTGATGGTCCTAGATTCTTGATTCCTCGTATAACTATGGTATAGGGCACTGCAAATAGATTAATGTGTCCCATTTTGGTACCCAACTATGAGGTACCCTAACAGGCCCATGGTTTTGAGAATAGCCCATGTATCTATAGTTTTTGCCAGCATGTTTCAAGCTTCGGAGTTGGAAGGCAAAGGTAGGGAGCATGAATCCCCCTAGTAGCTAGTAGCCAACCCCCTCGATTTTAAGCCTCCCCTTTTTGCAGTATACACCTCATAATGGGAATGTGTATTACAATGGGGTTGAGGGTTTTCATTTATTTAGGGGAGGGGATTGCTGACAGGTGGACATGGTGGTCGTCATCCGGAACGGAGAGGCGTGCTTTGGGGTGCTTGGAGTTTCGGGTGAGTCCAATATTGGGGTTTCCCAAAATTAGGGGTACCTTTTTGTTGGGATAGGATTTCCAATGCACCTTCAAGTGGGGTGTCGGACGTCGACGCGTGGAGTCCTGGGGCACCAGCTCGTAGTGGCTTAGGGTTTAAGAGTGTAAGGTATGTAAGGTGAAAATCCTCACGAAGAGACTCTCCTCCAAAACCTCCTGAATTGGTGGTCCCTGCCCTGCAGTCCACCCAATGAATTAATTACATGCGGACCTCCTCGTGACTGCTCGTATGCTTGTTTTGGGACCTACACGAGCTTTCCCTTTATGGTTGCATTGTAGCAAGTTTCCATTCATGGCAGGGAACTTCTGCGACGTTAGTTGTGCGATATGACTGCTTTCAGCTGCAAATCTAGTAGGAGTTGAGTACTAGAATCTCCGCTATCATGGCAGTTAAGTCAATAGACCGACCACTGCTACAACAGCGTTTGTTCGCATCACTTATCATTGACTTATCATTCTTCTGTGTTGTGCCATGAAGCTTGTTTAGCTGCTGCTATTGTGTCTGCCCATGGTATGACTTTCGCGGAAAAATCAGACTTCACAAACGAAACGAAGCCCCAACGCAAGCCCTATGCACTATGCACCCCTAAACTGAAATCTTCAGTGCCTGATGATGAGCCCAACTCGAAGGTGACGGCCTTGGGCCCGCCCCAGCAGTTCTCTATGGAAGAGCTGCGTTCTGCCGAGAGGCGCGCAGGATGTTGCCAAGGCTTAAGGTATTTCTGTTTCTGCTAGCACCACTACTACCGCTGCCCTACCAACCAACCACGAATACCACAAGCAACATCGCCATCAGTACCACTGGCAGCGGCAGTGGCAGCAGCAGTGACGGCAACCACGGCACCACAACGCCGACGACGCCGACGACGACTACAACGACTAGTGCTTGAAGTCGGCTGCTAGCACCGTCGCCCGGGCCGCAATGGCGGCTGCGTTAGGATTTGCTCCCACACCAAATTGTGTCAACGTTTGAAGGGAACGGAACCATACAGACTTGATCTTGCTGTGCTCCAACAAGTGCTGAAAAAAGTTGATGGCTTTTGCACTGCGATTTTCGAGCAGATTTCCAAGAAGGATGGAGAAAATGTTAATGGTGCTAGCACCAGCAGACGAAACAATTTTGAGCATGGTAGACTCAGGAGTAGACAGGACACAATGTTTCAACCAAGTTTGCGAGCTCATAGAACCGGAGCCTTACTGGACCAGTGCAGCCTGCGTTCAGCCCGGGGCAGGGCGGGCTTGTGCTTGGGCTGCTTTTCGGAAATGTGCTTTGTGCTGACGACACGGACTGAACTGGTTGCCATGTTTTGATGAGGGACAGTCAATGGTCAGCAAAGGTCTGGATGCAAATACCTGAGGAAGTACCAGCGTCCAGAAACGATTGCATCATGTTGCAGCACATGCTGCGTAGCTCAAGGGGTAGTCTGACTACTTTCGCTGCGAAACCTTTTGCTCTGCTATAACCGGTCCAGAAAATCTTGCTATCTAAGTACACCTGCACAAAGTCAGCACCGCAGCAGTTTCCAGAGAGACATGTGGCCCAACACCGGCAAACCCTAAACCCTGATCCCACTCCCAAAACCTAAGCCTGCCTGATAGGTCCGCGGAGGAAGCGGAACAATCTGCAGATCCTCCAAATGCCGGTCCAGCCTTGTCAGGTCTCCGTGAAGCATTGACGTATGGCTGGATCGGGGGTTATGTCTCTAACAAGAGTTTATTGTACCCAAAATCCTATTCTAGTTGTTTAGGCCCTGGCAGTAGGATACATGGGAGCAGCCGCAATAAATGACGTAAGAGAGTGGAAGTTGCGTTGGTATTTTTGTATTTGCGTTCCTCTGAGAGCGAGAGAGGGGCCTTTGGTTGAATGAGATAGGCCGCAGTCTCTTTTGCAATAAGAACCCAGTGCATATTCCAACATGGCCAACGAGCTCAGGTGCTTTTGTGCAGGTACAATACGAGACTAAATAAAAGGCAAATGAGATGAGGGGCGGTGGTAAACATGTCGCATCAGGCCCAGGTAACAAATAAAAGCCGACCCTGGTATTGTTTAGAGTTCAAGCTTTCGGGTTTGGGGTGGTGATGAAGGAATCGCTGCCAGCTCTTTCTTCGGCTACGGTTCTTCTTGGGAAGACCCCACATGTTCCTGGACGACCACTGAACGTAAGGAACCTTAACAGAAGGAACGCCCTTGTAGCCCGTAGGAAAGGCCCTGAAAGCTAAACCTTAGATCCTGGACCTGAAGTCTTACGCCATGCGCCCCAAGCCCTAACCACCCAAGCCCCAAACTCGCAACAATAGACCCTAGGCCCTAGATACAAGCCCTTAGCCCTAAAGCCCCAACACCAAATTCTTGTAATTCCTGCACTCTCAACCCCAAGCCCTGACCCCTGAACCCCAAGCTCCCAGTCCAAGATCTTTCGGGAGCCCCGCCTCCTTTCTACCGGGCGCGGTCGGTACCAGACGAGCAGGTGCTTTGCATGGGCCTGGCTTTAACGGGGCTTAGGGGTTCTCATGGTTTCATGTGTCAGGGGTTTTGAAGCGTTTGGGGTGCTGAGAACATGCGGCATTAATTATGAGTGCAGAGTGTGGGGCATTTGGTGCTGGAGATTTGATTAAGGATTTGGGTTCCTGTCTGATGATACGGCTTGTGACCTTGGGATGTGGGTCTAACTAACTTGTACTGGTAGTCACGGGGTGTCTGGACCATGTGACGCATTCACGAGGGACTGTTGCATGGCGCCATCTAATTCATATGACAGAAAGTGCTTTTGTTCATATCTTCTTTGCTGAAATCAAGGGGGGATGTTGCAAAACTGGAGTTAAGCTCTACGATGTTCATCGTCACGGATTTGGGCCGCGGGATGTCCTTTTGCCTCGGTTGCTGGGCAATGTGGTAGTTTCCAGAACTTATGGGGACAGCCAATATAGACCCCAAAATACCTTAACCCTAACACTTCCAATAGGGATCCCCGAAGAGGTACCCCTTTGGGAACCCCCGTGTGTTTCCTTGAGCCATTGTTGTTGATTGAGCAGCCTTAGATGCTGAGAAGCCAGAACTGGCATGAGTATGACGATTGTTGTCAGGGTCATGGCAGTTATGATAATGAAAAAGAAATGGAAATTACTATACGATCATAGGGATTACATAGGGATTATCTGAGGCAAATTCTGTGTTTGACATTTCCTGAGCATGATTATCATGCTCACTGTGTTCTTGCTGCTGGGGTTTCCTGTGTTTTCTGATCAGGAGGCCAAAGTTCCAGCAGGGGAACGCACCGTGGTTCGGAAGGTGTCCAGCAAGGCTTTCACCCGAAGTAGCTTGGGAGCAGTCTGTGCTTCCTCAGGGTGTAAGTCATTTAAGGCTTGATGCTTAGGCTTTGGGTTTTTGCTGCAGAGCTCGGGGCTTACAAGTTTTGGATCACCGTCTAAGGCTCTCGGTGCTTGGGATGTAGCGTCTAAGTCTTTGTACTCCAGAAATTCTTTCCTTTGGAGTACATACTGTAATTACTCTTCATCAGACGAGTGACTAGAACTCATAAACTAATTGGTTTATACGAGTAACAGGTACCACCAGTGCAAGTATATCAGATGATTGTTCGTGTTTACCCTGTCTGGATATATGTGGAAGTGTTAGTCTTGCTGCTATGCTAGATTTTAGGGGCTGCAAAGGCAGAACGTAAGTGAACTGCTTGCAAGATGCTGAAGCCGAGTTTTCTGACGGCAAGGAGGCTCTGAGTGTGAGATTGAATGACGTCACCAATTTCAGTTGACGAGCTTCTGGTTCGCAGTGTGGGAAGGCTTATTGAGAAAAAACACTGTCCACAGATCTACGAAGCCGAAGCTAGCACACCAAGTTTTGGTGGGTTTGAGTTTTGTGCTGAGCCTCAAACTGAATCGCCAGCCGTTTCGTGACCCCTCTTGATGCAATGACTTGTGACCGTCCAGCAACCAAGTAGTGCAAAATTGATCACTGGTGCGACATGTACGCACCCCCTGCAATGGTATTGTAAAGCTGTATTATGTTTCAGTGCATGAGAAGCTATATGTGATTCCATCATGGTAGACATCAGCGCTTGAGGCACCAGCGCTCCGGCTGAGCAAGTCGAGCACATCGCCAATGGCAGGTCATGTGGCTGCAAGTCAGGGCAGAGGGTTCAGGGGCCAAGTTTAGGGTCCAGGGTACTGGTTTAGGGTTTAGGGCAGAGGACCGCGCGATGTCACTGCCGAGCTTTCCGGAACCATGAGGAAGCCCAAGTGATGGCTAGATACTAGTAACTTAGTAGTATCCTGTAGTCTCTAATAGTTAGCATTTAATTGGAATCGCTGGGCCCTACGCTGCGATACTCAAGCCACTCCAAGCGCCATTCTGCAAGCTCGTTCCTTGATAAAAATCATTAATAGGTTTATGAAAATTAGGGCTCCTTTTGTGGGGGTGTGCAGAATCAGGATGACCATTTGTTTGGATTAGCATGCTTGGGGCCGTTGTTATTAGCAAGTCCGCATATTGGCCTGGGAAGTGTAGCGCCTTGTAAACCGCCGTGGTATGGTGGTTTCCCAAACACCATGAACCTCTTGACTCCCGTGCCCCCCTTGCCGCCCCAAACTAAGATAGCCTATCCAACAAAACCATAGCAACGACGATCCTTTCAAAAGCAGAGGTTCGATATCAGTTTGGTGGAGGGTGATATTTGGAGATGAAGTGGACCCCCTTACGGTCACTATTTCTGTCATTATCCGTGTGACGATTGCAGCTGCTGTTGCTATCCCTCGTTCTTTTTTGCTATTATGATTTTTGGGTTGCCTAATTTTGTGATCTGCCTCATGCAGGTCTCCTGTTCGCAGAAGATCGCTGGAGGGAGCCGAGGTTCAGCTTTCGGGAATCAAGATTTTGTGTTTAGGGTTTTCTGGCTTTTGTTCTGACTAGCGGCTTCACCTAGTCTTTTCCCTGGGAAGATGGTTCCCTGGCTGTTTGCAGGGCTAGTCTCAGATGCAAAAAAGATCTAGGTTTTAGGCTCTAAATTGGAGGGAGAGACTTGGACAGTTGCTGGGTGGGAGCAGCACCCAGGATTTTACATGACTACACAACCCTAAACCTTAAATCCAGGCCCGAAACCCTTAGCCCTGAACCGCAGCCATGCTTGGATGAAGCTAGGGTCACTCAGCTCTGTTTCGGGAAGCACTCCTTACTTCTTTCAGAATGTTGGAGTCACTATGAGGCTCCCTGATAAGAGAACATGGCTCCCCCCTTGAGAATCCACCTGACGCTAGTGCGGGGAGTTTCCACACGCATGCCCGACATCTTGTCAAAAAAGGAATCCTGGAACCGATGGTACCCTTTCTTCCTAGTCTTTGCCAACCCTAAGCCGCGATCAATCTCTGTGAAGATTGAACATGTAGAGGAGACCGGAGAAGTTGAGGAGCGTGCTGAAGAGGTTGAGGAAGGTGGGAAGAAGGGCTTATTCTGTAAGCTTGACATTTAACGTTCAACGCCCTGCTTCCCGTTGGCAGAACACACTCGCATCTGTAACGCATTGTGTCTGGCAATTGCCAGTACAGGCTATGGAGTATGTTGTTTTTTTGCAGATGCCCAAGCTATCCCCAGCTGGAGTAGTCGTGTTAAATAAAAAGCTCTTTGGGCATCTTGCGACTGGGGCATCAAGGATGCAGAGTTTGTCGAAGTTCAATTGGCGGGGTTTGTCAAACTCATGGCAGGGCCTCTAGACTCTCAGTATTGTATTCAGGAGATCAAAGGTTCATTGGCAAACGCGATTTGAGACGGGCGGAACAGCTTGAGCATACCAAGATTTCAGAGCTGGAGGATTAGGGATTCTGAGTTCAAGTAGTACTGGGAATTCCAAGCACTGTTGATGTGAAGTATTGCGAGTCGATTTATGATTGAAGCAAAGGGGGTAGGTGGTTAAGTAAGCCGACCCTCCTCGCACAGCATGTGCTACATTTTTTGATTGGGCTTTGCACCCTAGACCTTGCCCTTGCTAGGCAGTTTGAGTGTGCGGGTCTGGTGCTCCTTCGTGCGTGCCATGGGCTGCGGCGTGTGGGTAGTGCTGCTCAGCTCGTATCAGACATGAGGGGCTTGATGTTAATATTATTCTGTTTCTTGTTATTAATGTTGAGGCACCTGAGCATTCAGAAGTCCTCATTCGGCTTCGTAAGGCTTGCCTGGCTGGTATGTAGAAGTCAGCTGGCGCTGCGCTTTTTTGTTCTGTTGGGTGCTGCTCTCTGTTTTGTTGTCGTTGTTGACTGCCCGTTCATTTAGAGTGGCATGTCTGTTTTTAAGCCTGTGCAGACGCGTGGGCGAGACTGCCGCCCCATGGTTTTCCAATCTCTCCCTCTGGCACCCCGATTTCTAGAGGCAGGAAGCAGGGCCGTTTATCCCCTTAACACACCAGATTTCCAGAGTTCTGCATTTGATTGTTTCGTTATGCATCCAGGTTCCTGCGTAAGGAGCCAGGTTCCGGACAGTGTGGTAAACCTTCAGGCATCTTCATGCACTTTCCACTACTCCTATCTTCACATGTAATCGCCTCATCCTCCTTCCTGATGGAGCTCAGGATTGCAACGAATTTTGTCAGCACCGCAGGCATGGGAGAGTGGTGGGTCGCTCCCCTATGCGGGCGGCCGTGGGGGTTGTCAAAATTATGGTTCTTTTTTGGGCTCCCTGTAATAAGATGGCCGCCAATGTTTAGGGTGTCCAAAGACACCATACTTTCCACAGCCCGTTATAGAACCTTTGTATCATCGCATATCATCTCATATACAACCAAGCCGCCCCCGTGGAAATCTGTGTGGCTCCGATGTTCCTGCAGGAAACAGAACTCAGGCGAATGCCAGCCCTGGCTGATCCCAGGTAAAGCGTCCAGAGCTCTGAACTGTTACGTTTATCCACTTTGAGCATCTCCGCTCTCACATTTGGCCCAGAATTCCTGAATGAGGCATTGTGGGGACATGTAAGGACACTGTGCGGTTGGTTGCATATCTGTAAAGACATCATGTTGTCTCGGCATTCGGGGCTTCTGAATGTCGTGGCTTTTGTTTTCGGTTAACAAGAGTCAAATCAGCTTCAAGAGGTTCAAAGGGCGGGCTTTTTTTAGATGTGCCAATACAATCCTGCTTTATGGCCTCGCGCACCTACACTTCTGATTCTTGAATCCCTGTGACCGAAGTCCTACACTTCAATGTACAAGCAGTAATAGCAACATTATCAGTATTAATAGTAATAACAGTGTTAGCAGCAGTAATAGTACTTATAGTAGTTATTGTAATAGAAGTATCAAAAGTAACACGCAAGCCCGAAGCTCCACGCCCAATGCCCCATAAGGTACACCCTAAATCCCTGAGCCCTGAACCCTAAATGCTTCAATGAGCAAGGTGGGAGAAGAGAGACCTGAAGTCCTGGAAAACTCAAGCCTTATAGTAGTAGAAATATCAAGAGCAGTAAGAATAATAGTAGTGAAGTGATAGTAGTAAACATGTTACAAAATAATCGTAATGCTAATCGTAAGTGTGATAGTTATATCAATCAATGGCTACATTAACAATCATAGCAATAGCTCTGCTGCCAGGCTACCTGTGCTCGGCTCTTTGGATCGGGCACTGGCCAGAAGTTAGCGAGAGCTTGGGGACTGCGGATGCACTGGTTGTGGGGGCCTCAGGGTGTAGGGTTCAGTTAGGCTTCAGGGTTGGGAGTGTAGGGTTTTGGGTCGGTAGGGTTTACTGAGGGTTTGGGAGCCTAGGGCCTAGGAAGTTTCTGATTGAGATCCTTCTCAGAATCTGACATTGTGTTTTAAGGGAAACCCCCCAAATCCCATATAAACCCTAAATACCCCTATCACCCCCAATGAGGTATCATTAATTACGGGAAATCCCCAAATCCGATACAAACCTATGGGCTTCGGCATCCTCACTTTGGCTTGGTCGCGTAGGGCTTTGACATTATCGCATGTAACTTACGTCTTCAGATAGGGGTTATTTACGGATATTATAGGGTTTGTATACGGATATCGCATTGGCTGTATAAGGATATTATAGGGGTGATATGGGGATACTATAGCATGGCCGCAGCGATGATCATCGCTACGCGTTGATGGCAGTTGACGTGGCGCTTGCCGACACTAATTACGAAAAATGCCTTCTAGAGCTCACTGCAGTGATCCCTCGACATTGCAAAATTTTTCAAATTTGTTCCGCGCTTCTTCGCTGTAGCCGCCTGACCTTGTTGTTGGGACGATGTTCCTTGATGTTCGACACTTTTTTTTGTTAATGTTTCTGATTTTTTCCTTGTGAAGGCATCTTGGACATCTCCGCCTTAGAAGGCTACAGTCGAGCACAAGCCTGCGACGCTCGCACAATCCTTCACAGCATGAAGAGTATGCAATTTTCGCCCAAAACTGTGCTGATCTTTTTGGGGGCTCAGTGGTTAAGAGTGTTAGGGTTTAGGGTGTGCCATGTGCGCTCAGTTATTATTGCCCTAGCTAGTTCCTAGCCAGGGGCTGAACTCCAAACGCCCAAATTGTCTAGGGCTCCTTGAACCCATTGACTCAGACTCCTCAAGGTTATTCTAGGAAAAGTTCTCGTCTCAGAAGCTGCAGGTGTACGCGGCGATCTCCTTCTCAATTGTCATCTTCACAGCGATGAGGCCGCAAGATCCCGTAGCTTTCTGCGTTGCAGGCTGCTGATGTCATATGATCAGCCGACCTCACATGCGCATGGAGCATGTTGAAGGAAATGAATTTGGAATCCTTCTAAACTCCTAGTATCCCTCTTCATGAGCCCTATAGTAAGAACCCTGGTGTCCTGTATATCCGCCTTGTGTAAGCTTGCAATCTCTTTGATGGGCGAGCTGCCCGGCCAAAACAACCTCCTACATGTAACTGGTAACAGTAATAGTGGAAAGAAAACGGAAGCTACTGGATTATTTAGGGTTTAGGGGCTTAAGGTATTTTTTTTACGGATTGCAGATCGTATGACCTTGCCCCCTGCAGTCTAAGCCACCAACCTTCGCCCCACATCCGAAACCACAGGCTCGTGCCTGTATGGATGCAGGCTTCTGGTGTTCCAGTACAGCTCCTTGAAGCTCTCCAGATGCTCCGGCTGTTTGTTGGGTGATATTGTTTATAGGAACAGTTGTAGTGGCAGTAGAAATACTCTAGCCACTGCTGGCGTGGAGTGACGCCAGCTTTTACATCAATTTTCTCGAAAGAAATTCTTGCTCACAGTAGAGGCCGTTTTGTCTCTGAGCCTTTGGATCGGATTTGTTTTTGCCGTCAGACTTTTGGGTCCCTAATATTATCCCAATCTAACCCCAAAATAACCCAATATACCCCCCATACAACCCTGATATTACACTAATATAACCCTAATAGAACCTATGAAGCACTGTTTGGATGCATGTGGGACAGGGCCATTATTTTCAGATCTGCAGGAGCCTTGCAAGTAAGAGGATTTCAGGATACTCCTCAACCCTAAACCCTAAACCCTATATACCCCTATACCCCTGTATATCCCCCTTTAAAGGGACCTAATCATTGGGTTCTTGGACCCTTAGAACCCTAAACCCTATAATATGGTAGTTTCCATTTTCTTTTCCATTCTCCCAATATATCCCCAATGTGAACCCTATATAATATAACCAACCAGACTTGGGATAGTGAGGATACCCATAATATAACCCGAATAGAATACAATCCTAATATTACCCCTAATACAACCCCATCCCTATATAACCCACCCCAGTTTCCATTTCATTTTCCATGTGATTTTTCACTTGATAACCGTCCGCAAAGAGTGGAGCCCGCTCGCTCAGCGTTCAACTCAACAAAATGCATTTGATTTTCCATTTAATCAGTGCTCCATTATGGGGGTGTAATATCCCAAAATAACCCAATAGAACCCTTGGGATAGTGCAGGACTTGTTACAGAAGCATTCTGCAAGCTTGTTCTGGGACTTGGGAGATCTTCTCAATACAGTCGCTACAGGATGCTGACAAGGGAGCCCAAAAATCCACTTAGCCCTATAGTCCCCTATATCTCCTAAGCAGTTCCCCAAAGTGCCCCTGTCTTGGAAGCCCCCACATTTCAAACATTGCCAGGTAAGATCTTCAGTGTCTCCTGGAATTAGGAATCAGTAGATGGTCCTGCTTCAGATGAAGTCAAGGTGTGAAGCCTGATGGCAGGCAGGTGTGGAGCAATGCGAAACTTGTGAGTTTGGTTTTCGACCATGGTTGCTATGATTTTGTGAGGTTTGCAGCTGCCATGCATGCTTCCCTTCGCGTGCTCACACATTCCTTCGGGCTATAACAGGCTAAGAATCTTGCGGAACTCACTGCCACATAGGTTGGGTCGTTCCGCCTCCAGACTCTCAGTAATTGTCCTTCACGGGCCAATTAGAACTCCTACTGCCCATTGCAGTATCTGTTGGGGACTGACCTAGGATTGAACAAGGACATCTATCTCCCTAGATAATCCCTACGCATAGGAGCATGAATCAATTGTATTTTCCACTTGATTCTGCACAGTTAAGCTCTCCTAAAGCCATATATGATCCCTATATACCCTTATAGAACCCTAAGAATATCAACCGTAGGGAGTCTTAGCTTCTCATGCCCAGGAAGCATGCATCAGCGGGCGCTTTGGGCAGTGATCCGATCCCAGGTTGATGTTATGCTAAGCATTGGATACTGCCCCCACCATAGGCCCAGTATGATTATACAAAATGCCACCAATGTTACCCTTAATGCAAATTATGGGTTGTTAGTGGTTGGGGGCAGTACCTAACTTAGGCATGGCTCTTTTCAGGAGACAAGCCAAGGCGACAGTCAGCACTTAGATCACAGCCCTTTGGTTTGACCTTTCTTTCGGCAGCCCACGTGAGAGCCTCAAGAAAACCAATGTGCTTTGACTAGCGAAGCATCTAAGCAAAATTCCGCTTCAACCTCATTCCTCTTCCTACCAAGCGTCCGAAAATCCAGAGCTCTACTAAATAAAGCCCTAGGCCCAAACTCCCCGTGCTGTGAAGCGGGTGGATGCTCAATTCGATCTTTTTCGCCTGACCTGGGAGTCTTCTATCTGTCATGCAGGTGGAAAAAGGCGCTAAAAAAAACTACCCGTCCTGATCCCCGTCCTGATTTTTTTTGTCTGACCCAGGTTCTCCCATGGCCTGGCACGACACCACCCCCACAGGTCGGGTAGTCAACCGCGACCCGGCTTCAGGAAAGACATGTTGAAGTTGTTGATCCCACGCCATCCTCCTAACATTCGGCACCCCTATTTTTGCACGCATAGCTATGTATCCACCCCAAGCTACAGAGATCCTTTTTTTTGATCCCATTGGCGGGGGAGATTCCTTCGCAGAAACCCTTCCATGCATTCATCATGAGTGTGATGGGTCTGCCGTGTTTCCACGGGTTGAGGTTTAGGCTCCAAAGCACCAATTTCACTACGTTGCAGGCTGTCCATTCCTAAGAAAGATAGACGGGGTGACTTTGACATTTTGCTTCGTTTTGATCATATCCGAGTCCTGCTGTTACCACCATGTTTTCGTGCTTGTACATATAGACGCTGAAAGGGCGGGGGGTGGTTTGAAGCAACAAGCAAAGCCAGAAGAATGCACATGAGCTGTACTCTAAACTCTCGAAAAGGGATTTTCTAGATGATTCTAATAGCAGAGTATGATAGGGGCTATATTGGGGTTATAT